GCTTCCAAATTAGATAACCATTATCTTCTGAACTAACAACATAATCTTTAAAGTGCATTGCCCAGACTTCATATTCTTGAGGAAAAAGAATCGGTATTCTGGTTGTTGATCCGATGTTGCTTAAGATATTCAAGGAGTTGATGTTTGAATCATCGTTCTACATGGTGAAAATCTTTTAATACCTGAAATTAATTAGAATGTAAATACTTATTAGGTTAATATGAAGATCACAGAGTTACGTCAGTAGATCAATGACGTCTCTTAACAGATCCAATAATTGCGGAAACCCTAACAATTTCTTCAAACAGAAGAGATGTGTGTTAAGTACACAGTCTCCTTCTTTGATACCAATTGACAGGAATAAATCCTTAATGATCGAATATATTAAGATAGGTAAATAGAACACGATATGATCAAACTGGTGTTGAATGATTAATAGTCACGCCTCAGAAGAACTCGATGAAGAATTACTTCTGTAGAGGTGTAAAGTAGGGATACAAAGATAGTTATCAGAGTTAACTTAAATACGTAGCATGCATGCAGCTTATATACTATAACCCTAGCAATAAATATGAGTGGACAGGCCCAACTCATTTATACAAAATGGACTAGACAAACAGGCCCAACGACGCAACACTAAATCTTCAAAAATGCCAAACTTCTCAAGAAAATTTCATGTATATTTTTCTTGATTGATAAAAAAAATCCTTCTCTTCTTTGACAAATAATTAATCTAAGAAAATTATTTATCTTCCCCATCATGCTCATCTCAAATTCACTTTTCATCATGTTCCCAAATTCTCTAGACAATTGAGCATCAGTAGAACCAAAAATAATATCATTGACATAAATTTGAGCAAGCATTAAATGATCCCCAACTTTCTTTCGAAAGAGTATGGGATCAACAGATCCTTGTTTAAATTTCAAATATTTTAAGAAATTAGTAAGTGTGACATACCAGGCACGTGGAGCTTGTTCAAGACCATAAACAACTTTGTCTAAAACATAACAATGATTAAGGTTTTGAGAATTGACAAAACATGGTGGTTGCTAATCATAAATTGTTTCTTCAAGAACTCCATTGAGAAAAGCGCACTTCACATCTATTTGATAAACATTGAAATCCTTATATGCTGCATAGGCTAAAAATATTCAAAAAGCCTCAAGTCTTGTGACAGGGGCAAAGGTTTCTTCGTAATCAATTTCTTATTGTTGTGAATATCCTTTAACTACAAGCCTAGCCTTATTTCGAACAATGTTTCATTCTTTATCAGTTTTATTTTTGAAAATCCATTTTAGCCCTGTTGTTGACACATCTTATGGTTTAGGAACTAGAGCCCGAACTTTTTTTTCACAAATTCAGTCAACTTATATTGCATAGAAACAATCCAATCAGGATCTTCCATAGCATTCTTGACTGTTTTTGGTTCAATATTCGAAATAAAGACTTTGAACATGCAAAATTCATGATTAATATTTAGTACCTTATTTTTAGCATGAAGTTGAGCTCTAGTCAAAACTCCATCTTCAGGATTACCAAGAACTTGTTCCTTTGGATGATTTTGTGTCCATTTTTCCAATGGTAGATATGTAGGATCAAACTCTAATGGTGCATCTTCGAATGTTTTATCGTTCTCTGAACCTACAGTAGACACATTATCCGTTGTATCATGAAAAATTTTGGTTTGATTATTTGAAATATTTGGTTGATTTTTGATTTTCCTCCCTTTCGACAAAATTATCTTCTGGATGCTCCCCCTCGACATCAAAATTCATTCTCCCACTCTCCCACTCGAAAGTATGCTCCCCCTCAACATGAGTCGTCGAATTCAAGTTCTCCCCCTCCACTTGATCACTTTGTAGAACTGGAAGACTTTCGTTATTAACTGGAGAAGTTGTTGTTGATTTTAAATATGCATTATCCTGAGTAATTGACGAATCATCAGTATGCTTTGATGCTTAAGGAATTCGATTATCATCAGCATGAAGTTCAGCATCAACAACCCTACCAGGAACACCAAATATTAAATCATAATCAAAATCTAAAAAATTTAAACTTTGAGATTCATCATTTGATTCATTAAGAATTGGCTTTTGTTCGAAATATTTTTCAACTCTTTTAACATGATAGTCATCAAAAGTAAGATTGAACGTTTCTTCAATTTTTCGTGTTAATTTATTCAACACCGTGTATGCAACCGAATTATGTGAATAGCCGTAAAATATTCCTTCATCAGCCTTAGACTGAAATTTCGAAAGATTATCCTTGAGATTCATAATGAAACACCTGCACCCAAAAACATGGAAATTTTTCACATTAGGTTTACATTTATTTATGATTTCATAAGGAGTGATGTTGAAACGACGATGAACAAATGATCTGTTTTGAGTAAATCATGCAGTTGAGACTGCTTCTGCCCAAAAAATATTGAGGAAGATTCGTATATGTTATCATTGTTCTTGCGGCTTCGCAAAGTGAACGTTTTCGCCTTTTGACAACACTATTCTGTTGAGGCGTATATGGCGAAGAAAAATTATGCGAAATTCCTTTGTCTGTTAAAAATGAATCAAGAAATTTTTTCTTAAATTGCTTGTTTCAATATGTTTTGATAAAGTGGATCATTGCTTGAGCAGTTTCAGATTTTAAACTGAGAAAATATACCCAAGTAAAATGTGAAAAATCATCAACAATAACCAAAATGTATCATTTCTTGTTGATTGTTTCAACAATAGAGGTCAATATGAAAAATTCAAGTGGTTTAACAATCTTCGAATCAATGACAATTAGATGACCTTGTCTATGTTGCTTTCCCTGCTCACAAGCTACACATAAAGTATCATTAACAAACTTTAAGACATGTAAACCACATACAAGATCATTTATCACCAATTTATTGAGATTTCGAAAGTTCAAGTGAAAAAGTCTTCAATGCCAAAGCCAACTGATATCCGAGGAAGCTTTCGAAAGTAAACATACTAAGGGAACAACGACAATTGGTTTTATGTTGAGGGTGAACATATCACCTTTTCTTTTGGATTTGAGTAATATTTATTTTATTTCAATGTTCGAAATGGCACTGCCTTCTTCATTAAACACCAGTTGATTACAAGTACCTACAACAAGTTGTGAAACACTAATCAAGTTATGTTGAAGACCTTCGACATAAGTTACCCTATTCACTGTGAATTTGCCATTCGTTTCTTTTCCATATCCTTTGACTTGACACTGCTGATTGTTGCCAAATTTCACTACTCCAACATTCTCCAAATTTCGATAATCAAGCAAGTTTTCTTTTCTTCCAATAATGTGACTAGAGCAACCACTATCAATGTACCATTTTTCATCATATTGCTCATCACACAAAACATGCAATTAGTGAAAGAATTTAGGTCCCCAATGTTGTTTGGGTCCTTGGTGATTAGATCTGAAAACATTGTGAAATGAGGATCCTAAGACCCAGTTTCAAACTTTTGATTTGAGACTATCAATTAGGTCCACTTCACTAGTTAAAGGCAGAGAAATGTAATTATTTACAGGTTTAGAGTTTCCACAAACTTTCGCCTTTTGCTTCTCAGAACATTTCTCATTCACCTTTGCTTTCGAAATAGGCCTCCACTATTTTCTTGTGTGTTGCAAATCTATAGAAGAAGAACTTCCATTCGAAGATTCATTCAAATACTTCTCATAAGCTTCCTTTATTTGTGGTTGAGATAACTTTGTTGATTGAAATGTTTCCATTTCCTTCAAGCCAATGATTAATGTTATTCACATCTGAATTTCCTTTTACATACGAAACTTTGGAAAATTGTTTCGTAGGAGGATTTGCAAAAATTTGGTTGTTTTGGTGTGAAAGCCACTTTTCTTTTAGTGTTGATTTCATCAAACTTTTGATTCGAAACTTTTTGCGAAGAAACATGATTTTGATAATTTTTCGAATTATTCAAAAATCGACTTTGTTTTGAAAAATGATTTTGTGAAAATTTTGTGTTAAGATTTGTATATGAATTCCTTGTTGATTAATGATTTGGAAATTTCTTTTCATTTGATGTTTGATTATTGTTTTAAAAAAATGATTTTGACCCTTGAAAGTTAGATTTTGAAAACTTAAGTTGTGGTTTATTTTAAGACAAGACCTGTTTAGTTAGAGCGGGCACTACTAGAAAAACAGCCTTTTACGACGTTCATTGCGCGTCGTAAAAGGCTCAGACGACGCGCAAACATGCGTCAAGGAAGGCCCTGTTATAAAGAGAGACGACGCGCATTTACGATGCTCATTTACGACACGCAATGCGTATCAAGGAAGGCCCTGTCATAAAGGAAGACGACACGCATTCGCGTGTCGTAACCTCACGACGCGCGTGTTAATGACACACAATGCGTATCATTAAAACCCCTGTCAAGAAAGGCCATGTCATAAATGAAGATGCGTATCATTAATAAATATATTTATATATTTATTAATTTTTAAATTAAATTTGCATTTACCATATAAAAAAATACAATCCATTGCATAAAATTTAATGTCATACAATTATATTTCTTACAATATATAATGTTACAATAAACAAAATAAAGAAAGTAAATTGCTATTTTGAACATGTGAAGCATTATGACAACTTGCTCCGTGACAATTCATTTGACCTGTCTACCAAGAATTGCACGTGACTTGATGCCTCTTTCAGATTGTGGTGCTTTGTCATCAGCAACCTCCTGACCCAAATAAAAATTATATAAAAAATGGAAGTCAGAAAAGATGACATCAGCGAGTGAGGTTTTATTATGTTATAAAAAAATGGAAGTGAGAAAAAACTGTAAGCGTGGTGACATATTTAACATAAAATGTTAATTTAGTGACTTAATAGGCAATAAAAATAGTTTTTTTAGCCAAATTAATGAAAATGAGACATTTGGTTGCTATACTACCAGTCAAGTAATCCAAGATAAAAAGAGTTAACATCAATTTCACCTAGCAGCCTTGGCAACCAGGAGAAATTGATCATTAAACATTCCTAGAGAATAGAAGTGGCTTTCTCAATTGCTTAGAGCGTGACCCTGATTCACCTTCAAGATTTGCATTGTCACATGTAAGGTCATCACCTGTGAAATTGATCATTAAACATTAGACACCGCTTGAATTCTAAACTGAACCATTAACAATTTAATATGATCCAAACTATGCATGAAGTATCATGTGACTTGTGTTCAACCAAACCATTAATCAATCAATACATGACACTCTACAAGCACCACAAAATATAGAATTCAGGTGCATGTCGAGTGTTGACATTTAATCATTCATATGACCTGGAAAATAATTATAATAAAATTGTGCATGAAGTTTCCATATCCACACTCAGAAAGGAAAAAACCAAAAATATAATAACAAAATTATCTCCTCAAATGGGTAAAATTGAGTTACCAAATTTAGTAATCTCAACAAAAAAGCAAACCTGTACTTCTTGTACTAGTAGCATTGTCATGATTCAAAGGAAAACGAAGTTGCAACACAAATTCTGGACCATTGCATGTATTTAGATTTGTAATTGCTATCTCTCCACCTGGAATTTCTTCTAAATTGTCGCCATTAACCTACAAATACAATTCTCATTATATAGGTAAATATTATATGGTAATTAATAGTGCACAAGTCTCACAAACTTGAATAAATAACAAATGTAGTTCGTGATTAGGTAAAGTAGTTGCAACAAAAGAAAAAAAGGAACCAACTAAAGTACAAGAAACAAAATGGAACCTGGAATTCAATTGGCATTATTTTTCTTCCTTTCTTGGACAATTCATCACACTGTAAACAGGAATGGTGTTATTTTTGTAATCCAATAATAAAAATTATATCATCCATGTGTTATGTATAATCCAAGAAACCTGGATATATGGAAAGTAGATATCCTTCAATTTGCATTTGAGTTGCCTTATGTCTATATTTTTCTTCTTGGACTCAAATACATCAACTTGTTCAATTATAATCAGATATGTTCATATTGGGATCATATTCTTTGACAAGAGATGATAGTTACCTTTGTGAAACTACCACCTGGAGCTAACGGAATTTCATCCTTCATATGGACTTGAAGGCTACCATATGTCTAGATTGCAATGTAAAATAAGGAAACAAACATTAGATAATATATAACAGAACAGATAAATAAATAACAATAGCAAATAAGAGTTTAATTACCCTCCATGTTCGCTTTGAACCGGGGCCAGAATTGATTATATACATTTGATGAAGTTGTTTTGGGATCTAGATATGACTTTACAGTACTCCACATCAGTCTAAAACCAGGGCCAACATTGATTATATACATTTGATGAAGTGTCTGTTAACAAATATATAGTGCCAAAACAGTTAATTAAAGATTATTGCTAAAATAAACTTCATTAATGAAGCAAGCTAATCTTACTTACTTCAGGATAATTGTCGCCATAAATTTTTTGTAGACGCTGAATGAGTTCACGGGCACCTTTAGTGAAGTTCTGGAGCCCTTGAAAATATTCAAAAATGAAAATAATATTATTGAAAGTGACTATGTAAAGTGTGAACAAAGGGGAAGAAGATTCTCTGTTGTAACTTGTTTCTTGGAGGAGATTCTCTGTTGCTAACTTGTCTCTCTTTAGACTCTCCACCTTGTTCTCTTAAACCAAAATGAAGATTTCAATGAGGATTCACACAATAGCCATTGATAGCAGCAAATCAGGAAGCACAATGGTCCAATCCCATTCAAGTTTCTTTGGACCTATCAGCAAGATAAGAATACAAAATTCTTGCCATGATGGAAAGATTAAAAGCTAGTAAGATTTAAAATGAAAATGATTATAAAAATAAAAGAAAATTTAAACCAGCAGTCAATTAGAAGATACATGGACCATTGTATTTGGCAGTAAGTAAGTAGCAACTGATAACCACAACATCAAACTTTTCAAAGAATTCAAACAGATACGAAACCCCCTGAGCTTGAATTAGACTGGCAGATTTCAGTATCCTGTTACCCAATACACCTATTTCTCTCAAATTTGACACCAACAAGTCGCCTACAACAATAGGTTTCTCTCCACAAAGCCTGGATAGAACTTCAATTGCCTTATCTTGCACAGAAGCGGGCCCCTCAGCTAGAAAACACACAAGAGGTTGTAACCTTGAGATAACTTCAGCAAGGGTAGACCATGGGGAGTAAGTTGTGTTAACATTTTTCTTTGTTTTAGCCTATAAAGAAACTACTTCTAAAGCTTCGGCTGCATCAGTACGATCATTCATGGAATCAACAAAAGCAAGAACTGCAAATTGGAACTGACAGACCAAATACTTTAGGGACATGCAACACGTGCATTGGCAAACATATGTGGTGGAATGTCTTCTCTTATCCTACATCTAGGAGAGCTTGCTCAGTCTACATCTATTGCTGATATTATAATCGGAGCGAAGGAATGTCTGCTCTTAACTCCTCCTATGTTCCAAGGTTCTCAAGATCCCAAGCATCAGATCATTTTCTCTTGCGAGATGCCGGGGTCTTCACAGTGAGGTCGAGATGAGTCTTCTTAGGAGGAAGCGAAGGATGGATCTTTTCCTTCTCCTCCATGATCAAACCACTAGACATGTCGTCTTCAAGTTCAGACAAGACAAATCGGGCACTAGAGCGAGTGTTTTTGGATCCTACACATTAAGAAGGGTCCCCATAAGCTCAGGATCCTGATGAACAATGAGAAGGATCCTTACCATTAGCCATCAAAATTGTGGTAGAAGAACTCTCTTGAAGACTAGGAGACTTGAGTTTGAATGATCTGATCCCTACAAGAATAGTAAGAAAATGCCTGACTTTGTTCTCAGGATCCTCAACCATAAGGAAAGCTTCACCAAACTTGTAACCTGCATCAAAATGAACAAAAAAATGTAAATCCTTGGATCTTCAAAATCAATAAATAAGATCCTACTCTTTTTCAATCCAAGCTTTAGGCAAAAGATCCCCATCATCGATAGAGTCTCGCCTCACAAAAAAGTATTTTTCCCTTCCAGACTCCATCATTGTGCTTAGTTTTTAGAATGAGGGGGGATTTGTTAGTTTTGACCTTAAACAAAAAATGAGAACTCCTAAAAGTAGAGATATTGTAAACATAAGCCAACTCGGTAAGACCAATGTTCGAGCTGTGGGAGTGATTCACTCGCTCAATCCAGTACAAAATCCTCCAAATGATGGGCATTTCTAAGATATACGAAAGCTTGGTGGCTTGAAAGAAATCAGAAACAATGTCGAAAAGGGTATTTGAGAACCAAAGAAAAGGGATATTCGGGGATGCATACCCATGAAGGAGAAACAAAATTATAATGAATAGAAGGATAAAAGGACCTGAAGATCACTTCGGAGGGAAAAGCTTTGTTGGCATTAAGGGATTAATGTCCTCGTCATTAAAGGAACATACCTCACCATAACCCAGATTCCCCTTATCAACAAAATAATTCTTTGGAGGAGTAGTAATATTGGCGCGAGAATGAGTCGCCTTCTTACCCGTGATAGGATAAAAGAAGATAAAAAAGGAAAATAAATTGCCTATGAATGTGGCCGGAGACGTTTGTAAGAAGTGTTGCGGAAGGTAAAAAAAGTTAATGCGATAACCCATATTTAAGCTAATGATAGAAGAGAGAGGGTACGATTTGACCACGCGATGATTAACCTTGGGCTGATAAACCCTATCCGATTAGGGTTTAAAATTCAAATCTTTTATCTCTTTGATTTATTATTTTTAAATTACACCTTTATGTACAGGAAAACTAACCTCGATATTTCACAGGTATAATTTGGGGGCAATTGTTAGTAGCAAGATCCTTGAATCGTATTCAGGATCCTCAAATATTTCTGAAGCCTCAAGATTTTTAAACATATCCCGGGATCCTAACTATTACCACTAATATTTCTAACATTTGTAACGGCTATATTTTTTTTTTCACATGTGCAGAACTAGGTAACACAAGACCCATTCTCAACGGAGAGTATCTCAACTAGGCAAAAGACTCGGAATACCAAGTCAAATAACGTTCATATGTTGATTCCAGACTTTGCCGAAATTATCGGATGCTTGTTACTTACACTAGACTAGCACATGTATCTAGCACATAAAACAAACGATTAGCCCTAGCATTACTCTTGAACTCATATTACTTTCACAATCGTTGTAACCTCATATTAAAATCAATAAAAGACATCAAGGCAGGTGATTATTATCACCTCCAAATGTTTTATGTTGGATATCCTACAAATGATCTAGGGCTTTCCTTGTAACTCATTTGTCTCAAATTAATTATCATTTGATACTTACATTACACTAACATCACAACCTTTCATACAATTTGGTCGAATTACACTTGATCAAATTTTGACCAAAACAGTGAGAAAGTGCTTCTAGAATTGTGATGGTTCCCTAAGTGTATGGTTGGTGGCCATGCACATCTTTCAAAGATGAAGATTCTAGAAGCAGTTCTATGGCGACATGTGATTGGTTAACACATTTAATGGACCTTTGGACTAATGAGCTTGACTCATTAGAATTTTAGGTCTTATCCAAAGTCTATAAATATGGATGCTTGTTAGTCACTCATTTGTATCTTTTGTATCTTGAATTCTAATGAGAAAGCCAAATATATGCTAAATTGTACTTGTAATCTCTCTTTGAGAACTCTTGAACAATAATACTCTCTTGCCCGTGAGCGTAGGTCACCATGATCGGACCACATAAATACCGTGTCTTTATGTATGTATGGTTTCTTGAGTTATCGACTTTACTTTCTAACAAGTAATATATGAGTTTGACAAGTGACATCAACATGAGACCATTCTTGACAAATGTTGTCTAATTTTTAACACATTATAAATTGCTTGTTAATTTAATGTACTTTGGTTTCTTAGATCGTAAGTTCTGATTTCAGTTGAATTTGCCTTCAACATGTTTGTGAAGAAAATTTGCTAAAGTTGTTTGTGAAACAATCTGAATTATTTCGTTATAAAACTATTTAAGGTCATATAAATGAAATCAACATACGTTGTATTGGTAAAAACCTTTTTCTTGTATTGATTTTTTTTTTTTTTTTGACAGAAATGATCATGCCGCAGGTTATAAATGAGATTTACATTGTGTGACCAAACATATGTTAAAAAGAGGTGGTCATGTTTTTCTTACCCTACTCATTGTGTTCTTCAAACCTATGCCACTTGTGTTTAACATTGACTTTATGAAGAATTATATGGAATTGTCTCAAGGCACTTTGCAAGTAATATTAATTAAATTTCGCTGTCTCCTTAAAACCTGTCACTCCACTATTCTACTTAATTCCGTTTTATTGCAAGTGAAATCATATCCCGAACACAAATTGCGGTAATTCTTTGACCAACCTTTTAATCCGGTTGTGATCATAAATAGTAAGTTTTTATATATCTTATTATGTTGGATCTTTTCCGGCATTTAAAGTCTAAAACAAAATATCTATTTATAAAATGGCATATAAATATATTCTATAGAAAATGATTGTGTATGCTAATAAACTATCATTATATTACATATTTAGTCATTTTTTTTATAAGAAGTTGTTTAGCCTATCATTTTTATCCCATATTACAAATTAAAGTTTTTCTGGTATATAATGTACCATGAAACTTTTTGTACGTGATTAAACTATGTATCAACCATCTTCTCCAATCAATATTATCCACACACCGAAAACCATCCACCTCCCACTGCCACCATCCACCACCAGCAACAAACACTACTTTCCATGCCTTCCATTACTGTCATTTGCCACCACAACCACCCATCTCCACCATTCACCAGCAACACCACCAAGAAACGAATTTAAAATCAGGTTCAACATACAACAAAATCAATTTAAATATCTAATTAGTTCAAAGTTACACTCAAACATAAAATCCATTCAACTTCCAATCAAGCCAAACTCATAATTCAACAATAAAATCGCATCCTTGAATGCAAGTGGTTATTTGGTACTACATGATTCAAGAAGAAAGGTGAGAGAAGGAGAAATGGATATTGGGGTAGGGTGGTTTTTCAAAACTGATAGAAGAGTTTTATTGGGGTCTAGTTTGTTAATTAATTAAGGTTTTAATAAATTATTTAGAAACTTGTAGACTTAAAGGGTTTATGTATAAAGATTCGAATGTAAGATCTTTAGGATAATTACCAAACTTGTTGGGGCTTATTGTGTTGCGTCTTAGGTCTTTTTGTATATATCCGGATTAGGCCTGTCCATCTGTGATTATCTCTTAGGGTTAGACTATATATATGCATGCATGTATGCATTATAGTGAGATGTTCTTTTAAATACGCTTGAGTTTTGTAACCCTAATACACCCCTACAGTCAAAGTTCTTAATCGAGCTCTTCTGAGGTTTTGAAGCATTAATCATTCAACGTATTAAAGCCATATTTGTGTTTACTTTACGTACTTATTTGTTTGCATGTTTAGAATCAATCGATCCTGAAAGAATTACGTTCTAACAATTGGTATCAGAGCATCAGACTGTGTGATCAATACACATTCCTTCTGTATTCAGAATTCGTTAGGGTTCCGCTTTTATCACTAACAAGTCGTCTTCTTTGTTTCGACGGCAACTTTGTTTTCGATAAAACCCTAATCTCAAGTTTACTGGTTTGATTCTAAAAGCTCACAATGTCTCACAAAGATTCGCAAACAAATCCCATCAACATCTCAAACATCATTGGATCTACAACCAGGATACCCATTCTCTACACTCAAGACTACGAAGTATGGGCACATCACTTCGAAGACCATGTGGTTGGATATGAAGAAACGGCTATCTCATTTGGGAAGCTATCACTCTTGGCCCGTTTGTTCATTCAAGAACAAGCACCACTGTCAAGACGCAAAAGGAATATAACAAGTTGATTGCTGATGAATAGAAGATGACACAAGATGAAAAAGACAAGCTACTGTGTAATGTGAAGGCCATGAGAATGATAAGATTCGCTTTGCAATCTAACACTTTTCGATTGGTCAGTTCATGCATGACGGCTAAAGAAATCTGGGATAGGTTGAAGGAGCTTTACTCGACTGATGAAGATCTAGAACACTTTATTCAAACCTTGTTGCTATCAGAATTTGGAGTTTTCGAACATAAAACCTAAAGAGAAGCTAATTCAGACCTTTGATTATTTCAATCATCTCTT